TTCCTTTTTTCCTTTTTAGGAAAACTAGATGGTAGTATAACAGATACTTAGAAACTGCTGTTGTTAAAAAGTACTGACTCTTTATTTGGGCCCACTGAAGGGCTTGCCTCTCCCCTCTCAATCCAATCTTTTTATTTATCTAAAGACGGAATATGAAGGATTGAGTCCTGCCTTATTCCTTAATCAAGACACCAGGTGCACACGAGCAAACTTGCCCATACGTGTCCACAGGCAGGTTATTTTAACCTAGGCCTGGCTGCAAGTCCCTCTCACCCCAGCAGAGCATTCCACCCTGGGCCCACAAAAGAATATAGCCCATTTTTTAATTCTCTGCTTCCCTGTAAAGCCCTGTATAAGCCCACCCTCAAATCCAATTCCTTGCACAACTTCCAAACTCATGGTAAGGTCTGTGCCCTCACTGGCAATAAACGGTCCTCACCTATTGATGGTCAAGTCTGGCTTATTCCTTTTCCATTCTCCTCAATTTACTTTCCTTCCTTCCATCCTTCCTTATCGGTCATGGGGCTTGAACTCTGGGCTTGGATGCTGTCCCTGCACTCTTCAGCTCAAGGCGAGCACTTTACAACTTGAGCCACAGCGTCACTTCTGGTTTTCTGCCTGGGCTGGCTTTGAACCATGATTCTCAGATCTCAGCCTCCTGAGTAGCTAGGATTACAGGCAAGACAAACTGCATATTTTTCCTCTTTGTTTTTCAAAGCTTATGCTGATGTGAAACTGAGCATCATCAGTAAACTTAGACGTACTTCCTGCAATACTGGGTGGCTGGAACATTTTGGGGGGATTTTTTGCAGAACTGGCTGAGCAAACAGTTTTTTGCAAAACCAGCTTGAGCAAACAATTCTGGGGTCAGAGGCCTTTTTCCTTGGGGGACAAAATGGCGTTACTTCTGTCAGGCTTCAGGCTTAGGAACATAACCTACTTCAGGGAGGGGGCTGTTCTCTGGGGCAGACCTAAGAGTGACAACTCTTTGGAACTCCTTAGGGAGACCAGAACTGAGATAAAGATTAACCAGGTGGGCCAGATGCTAGTGGCTCCTGCCTGTAATCCTAGCAGAGGCTAGGATCTGAGATCATAGTTCAACTCCAGGCAGGAAAGTCCATGAGACTTTTATTTCCAATTAACCACCAGAAAACTGGAAGTGGCGCTGTGGCTCAAAATGGTAGAATACTAGCTTTGAGCAAAAAGAGCTCAAGGACAGTGCCCAGCCCCTGAATTCAAACCCCATGACTAACAAAACAAAAAAAACAAAAAACCAAAACAAAAAATATTAATGAGGGTACTATATGCCTGGATCTGCTTAATTATGCAAACATTCCCTTTACCCCCATCAGAATTCTTGGTCAGTATCCTGAAGATGAGTTGAAATGCTTTCTTCCCTCCACCAGGATCTGTCCAATCTAGCTTTTTTTGATTGTTAATTGGAGATGGAGTCTTGAAGACTTTTCTGCCTGACTGGCTTTGAACAGATTCCCAGATCCTAGTCTCCTAGTCTCCTGAGTAGCTATTTAGGATTATAAGTGTGACTTACCATGGATTTTCTTTTTTTTTGCTGGACGTGGGACCTGAACTCTGGACCTAGGCGCTGTCCCTCAGCTCTTCAGCTCAAGGCTAGCCCTCTACCACTTGAGCTACAGTGCCACTTCCAGCTTTTTCTGCTTATGTGGTGCTGAGGAATCGAACCCAGGACCTCATGCATGCAAGGCAAGCACTCTGCCACTGAGCCACCTTCCCAGCCCTTACCATGGATTTTCTTATCTACAGCAATTTGTTATGTGACTTCAGAACTTGAAAAATAAAATTCCCATGAATCATGAATCTAAAAATGATTCAATATATCTGAAATTCTGTTAAGGGAGTAAGAAGAAGGAAAGTAAGGAGGTCACTGTGGGAACATTCTGAGAGTTTGAAGCTTCAAAGTATCTTTTAAGGCAACATTTCTTATTCTTTTTTATCATGCAGAAAGAGATTATTTCATTATTTTAACATTTCTTATTCTGATACTGTATTTCTATGCTTTCTGAGAGTCCTAATGTTTGTTCTATATTTGGAGTATGGCCATGGGCATAATTATTATTGTTATTGTAGTGATAAGGATGGAACCTAGAGCCTTTCACATGCTAGGCAAATGAGCTAAATTTCCACTAAGCTAAAATTGCAGCTCATAATTAAATATTAAATGGAAGATCCTAGAAATTTATCTCTAATATTAAAGAAAACAACTTTGAAGAAATTGAGAAATTTTATTTCTCAATTAAAGCTCAATAGAAATTGAGCTTTTACGTTGTTTTTCTGATTAACCTTCACAATAATGTTACTTGCTTCTGTTCAGGACTTGCACTGGCAATCTCTGGAAAAGCTCTCCATCACTTAGAATCCAGCTTTAATCTATTAAGAACCTAGGCTGAGTGCTGGTTGCTCAGGCCTCTAATCCTAGCTACTCAGGAGGTTGAGTTCTGAGGATAGCAGTTCAAGGCCAACCCCAGGCAGGAAAGTCCCGTGAAACTCAAATCCAATAAACTATTCAGAAAAAGTTAGAAGTGGTGCTGTAGCTCAAGTGGTAGAGCACTAGCCTTGAGCCAAAGAAGCTCAGGGACAGCACCTAGGCACAGAGTACAAGCTCCAGGACTGACAAAAACAAAACCTGGGCCAGGAGCTGGTAGCTCCTGTCTGTAAACTGTGCTGCTCAGAATTCTGAGGTCTAAGGTTCTCTCGTCTCCAGATAAGCACCAAAAAGCTGGAAGTAGAGCTGTGGCTGAAGTATTAGAGCACTAGCTTTGAGCAGAAAAGCTCAAGGACAGTGCCTAGATTCTGAGTTCAAGCCCCAGGATTGGCACAAAAGAAAAGAAAAAAAAAGAATCTGGCAGCTTTACATCCTTGTAAAACTAATCCAGGTTTTAAATAGTCTTACCTAACATTTCTTTCCATATAAGAAAAATCTCTTGGCTGAGAATGTTTGTTAGCTAAATGAGCTCCCTTTCCATAGCTTAGCATGCTCCCTTCCTAGGCAACACTAGGCCCATGTAGTAAAGGCAGTAAATAATCAGCCTCCAGCCCCCTTTACCTTGGGATGGCACTTCTCTGGGGCTGCTACCACCATATAAGGCAGCAAGAGCCCCTTAGAGTGACCTTCAGGTCTGGGCAGCTGCAGGGCCCTTATCTACTACTTGGATGGCAGCCAAAATCCTAGACCATCATGATGAAGCCCCTGGCCTTCATGTCCACACCAGGGTCACTGCCTCCTAGCCCCTTCTAAACCTCCTAGGTTATAGAGGTCACCTCAGACAATAGCCAGCGCTTCTCACTTCTCCCTTGTGAAAAGGGGTCTTGCCGGCCCTTTCTGGGCAATAAACTTTCCTTTGTTCTCTGTACCTGGGTGTCTGCCTGGTTTTCCGGCAAAGTCTAATAATCTATCAATGTGGCTTAGTGGTAGAGCACCTGCCTCACATACATGAAGCCCTGGGTTCGATTCCTCAATACCACATAAACAGAAAAAGCCAAAGTGGCCTGTGGTTCAAATGGTAGAGTGTTAGCCTTGAGCAAAAAAAGCTCAGGGACAGTGCCCAGGCCCTGAGTTCAAGCCCCAGGACTGGCAAAAAAAAAAAAAGAAAAGAAAAATTTCCCTCATGTCCTGAGATCTGAGGATTGCAGTTTGAAGCCAGCTCTAGTAGAAAAATCTGTTCAAGTCTTATCTCCAATTACCTACCATAAAGTCAGAAATGGAGTTGTGGCTCAAGTTAAGGGACAGCACCCAAGTCCTGAGTTCAAGTCCTAAGATAGGCAAAAAAAGAAAAATATTTCTTTCCTTATGATTTTTTTTTTTTGGTTGGTGGTGGGGCTTGAATTTATCCCTGGGCTGTTTTTGCTTAAGGGTAGTGTTCTACACTCGGTTCCACAGGTCCACTTCTGGTATGGTGATAGTTTCCCGGACTATCCTGCCAGGGCTGGCTTTGAACCACGATCCTCAGATCTCAGCCTCCTAAGTAGCTAGAATTACAGGTGTAATCCTAGCGCTGGACTCCTTAAGAAATTTAAACCGTGGGCTGGGAAGGTGGCTCAGGGGTAGAGCGCTTGCCTTGCATGCCTGAGGCCCTGGGTTCGATTCCTTAGCACCACATAAGCAGAAAAAGCCAGAAGTGGCGCTGTGGCTGAAGTGGTAGAGTGCTAACCTTGAGCTGAAGAGCTGAGGGACTGCACCCAGGCCCAGAGTTCAGGCCCCACGACTGAGACCCCTGCCCCCCCCAAAAAAAATTTAAACCAAGCCTATTTTGTTTCTTGCTCCAAGTCTGTTATAAAACTTTCACAAGAGCTGAAAATCTCGCCTTATCTGATATTCCTGCTTTCACAGTGGTCAGCGCCTAAACTCGGATGTGGGCCTTCAACACCAAACACCAGCTGGGAGGAAGTCAACCCCCACTCTAGTCTGAACAGTCCTCCCAGCTGTGTGTTTTGTCTTGCAGAGATCCCGTGGCAGCAATTCGAGAGCCTCGGTCACCATTAAAAATGCTACCCAAGCACAGCCAGGATGTCCTTGACACACATCCGATTTTCTGGGAAAAGATGACCGTAACCGTGGTGGATTGAGCCGGGAAGCTGAGAAACTGCTCGGAGCGGGCTGGGCAAAGGTCCTGTATACTGCGGCTGACGGGAATCACCCCACGCGCCTTCCCTCCCCCAGTTTTGCCACAGAACCGGAGTGCGCTTGGGGCATTGTCTGCAAGACCGAAGTGGGGAGAACACGGCGAACTACACTACACGAACCGACGCAGGGCAGTCACCCCCACGGCCAGAGGAACACTGGGAGACCCTGAGCCTCCCGGGGGTCCGACTGTTACCTCGTACTTTATTTACAATGAACCGGCGGATCCCGCGGTGACGTCACGGCCCGGGCGGGCCACGTGACCCGAGCGGCCCCGCCCCTCCCTCCTCCCGCGGGCGCCGCCAGCTCGGAGCTCAGCGTCCAGCCGCGGCCGTCGCCTGAGGTCTCCAAGGCAGCTTGGGGGCGAGCGGGCCGGCCGGTAGGGTTGGGAGCCGCAGCGGCCGAGGGACCCGCAGCAGCGGCGCGGCGGGGCCCAGCGCGGGCTCGCAGACGACGCTCTCGCAAACTTGGGACGCACCTTCCGCGCCACGGCGCCCGCGCCCAGAGCCATGAAGATGGTCGCGCCCTGGACGCGGTTTTACTCCAACAGCTGCTGCTTGTGCTGCCATGTCCGCACCGGAACCATCCTGCTCGGCGTCTGGTACCTGGTGAGCGCGGCCGCGCCCGGGGACGCACCTGGGGGGCCCGGCGCCGCAGCCGGGGCCGCTCCCCCCCCCGGCCCCGTTCCACCTCAGCCCCGGCCGGGTGCCCCCCAATCCCGCTCCCCCCCCGGCCCCGTTCCACCTCAGCCCCGGCCGGGTGCCCCCCAATCCCGTCCCCCCACCCCGGCCCCGTTCCACCTCAGCCCCGGCCGGGTGCCCCCCAATCCCGCTCCCCCCCCCCAGCCCTGTTCCACCTCAGCCCCGGCCGGGTGCCCCCCCATCCCGTCCCCCCCACCCCGGCCCCGTTCCACCTCAGCCCCGGCCGGGTGCCCCCCAATCCCGCTCCCCCCCACTCCCGTTCCACCTCAGCCCCGGCCGGGTGCCCCCCAATCCCGTCCCCCCACCCCGGCCCCGTTGCACCTCAGCCCCGGCCGGGTGCCCCCCCCCAGTCCCGCTCCCCCCCACTCCCGTTGCACCTCAGCCCCGGCCGGGTGCCCCCAATCCCGTCCCCCCACCCCGGCCCCGTTGCACCTCAGCCCCGGCCGGGTGCCCCCCCATCCCGTCCCCCCCCGGCCGCTCCGCTCCCCCTCATCCCGCCCCCCTCCTCCCCCGGCCCACTCAGTTGTCCTCACTCTGGCCCACATCCCCGGGCCCGCTCAGACGAACTCATCCTCCGGCCCGTTCTCCCCCCCCAACTCCCGGGGCTGCTCCCCTCAGCCGCCGGCCCGCCCCCTTCGGTCTCCCAGCCCACTCTCTGCCTGCCCCCCTCCCGACTGCTCCCCCTTCTACCCCCACTCCCGGTGCGTCCTCTTTTAGGCTCGCCCCCCCTCTCTCCATGGCCCCCGCTCCCGGCTCGCCCCCCCACCTCCGGCCTCCGGCCCTCTCCTCTTATCCCTCCACCCCCCTTCCTGGCTCGCCTCGCGTCCTCCTGGCCGGCTACCCCATCCCCACCCCGGCCTGCGCTCCCAGGCCGCTTTCCGCGCCCTGAAGTTGCCTCCTGGGTCGGCTCCGGGCTCGAGCGACGCCGGCGGTGATCCGCCTAAAGTTGTATTATTAGAAACTTAATTCTCTGGGCGAAGCTGGCCCCGGTTCCCGGAGCTCGGCCCACCTGTGGCGGGGTGGAGGCGGCTTCGGAGGGGGCGCCGGGCTGACGGGGCCGCCAGAGTTGCCGCGGGGCCCGGTGGGCTGCGGAGTGTGCTGGGGGAACGCCAATCAGGGCTGCACAGCTTATGCCCCTTCCTTCCCCGCTCCGCTCCCTACATCCCGCCGGGTCTGCTTTTTGGTGCGTGCTGACGGCCGTGCCCGGGGTGCCTGTGGGGTCGGTCGGGTGCAGACCCAGGCATGCCCATTCCTTCCTCTCCTTCCATTTGCCGGGCATTTCGGTCCTTCTCGAGTTTGGATCTGAGTCGATTGAGTTGGGGACTCTTGTTTCCTCTCCCACCTTTTTGTGAGCTGGTACCCCCGCATGGCTTGTGACTTACTACTGTGTGGCAGAACGCCCCGGGAAGCCATTTTACACCCACTCCACGCCCCTGGACAGGTAACCGTCTGTTTAGGTTGGTGCTTGCCAGGTTTTGTTTGTCATGATTCACAAGGAGGGGGGGCGGGAAACGGGTGGGTGTGGCTTTGTCCTGTGCTGGCCCTTGGGTAACTGAACTGTTAGCTGCCCTAGACTGAACCAATTCATGAGTCGGATTCCTCTGCCTTCTGGGTTTTGTAACATCATGGGGCATTAGACCTGAATTATGCTGCGGTGATTAGCGTTGTAATACAAGAAAATGCCTTAAAAGTGCTTCTCAAAGAGCTTATCAAACTTTTCAGTGAGAAAGCATCTCAGCATGAGCCAGAGATGATAATGTTTGCTCGCGTTTCGTTTTAGTAATTTTTCATACAGACATCGGACTGCAAACTCCTTCGTTGTGTTATTTTAAGTCCTCTCTTCGGCTCTTACTGTGTAGTTGATAATTTCAAGTTTCCTTTAGTCATGGCCGCAGAATAGAAAATTTTGGCCTTAAAAGCTTTCAAGCAGATCTTTGGTATGTGTGGATTCTTAGGGTGCAGTGTGAATGCAGACTGGGCAACACCTTATTGGCTCAACCCTGGCTTTTCTAAAAGCCAAGCAAATTTAAAGAAATTTAAAATCACAAAAGATAGTAGGTAACCGCATAATAGTATTTTTATCGATGATCAAGGCGGTCTCTTCTATACAAATGGCTCGAGGCCTCCTTGAAAATGTTTGAATCTGCAGACTTGCATCGAGGCCTCCTTGAAAATGTTTGAATCTGCAGACTTGCAAGTACACTGATGAATGTAATTTGTAAAATCTAGGGCACTGCATTAGGCAAATGTACTACAGGATCCACAGGAAAGATAAATCTACTTGAGCCCTGTTGTTGGCAGGAATCCAAGCAAATAGCATTGGTGTGATGAAAGGGAATACTCCACATGCTTTGTCTACTGTAGGAACTTGCTCTTTGTGGGAAGTCTTAGTTGGTGCTCCAGTATGTTTTTAGCATTTGCAATATGTGGCCCTTTGAAAGATAACTGGAGAGCTTTTTAGTAGACATGAATCAACACTGCTTTACATAAACCCAATATATGAAAGGCTTGATATAAGTACTTGGTGGTTTTTGTAAAAATCTTTTGAATTTCAAAAACCAGCAAGATTTTTTTTTTTTGGTCAGCCGAGGGGCTTGAATTCTGGGCTTGGGCGCTGTCCCTCAGCTCTTCAGCTCAAGGCTAGCGCTCTACCACTTGAGCCACAGCGCCACTTCCGGCTTTTTTCTTTTTGCTTACGTGGTACTGAGGAATCGAACCCAGGGCCTCTGGCATGCAAGGCATGCGCTCTACCACTGAGCCACCTTCCCAGCCCCCAACAAGATTTTTTTAAGTAATGAATTTCCCTCATATTTAGTTCTCCAAAATTTTGATTGTCATGAAGATTTTTTTTTTTTTTTTTTGGTGGGGGAGAGGTGTCAGTCATGGGGCTTGAAATCTGGGCCTAGGCACTATCCCTGAGCTCTTAAGCTCTAGGTGGGTGAGGGCTCTATCACTGTCACAGTGCCACCTCTGGTTTTCTGGTGAGAGCCTTCACAGACTTTCCTACCTGGGCTGGCTTTTAACTGCAATCTTCAGAGCTCAGCCTCTCCTCAGTAGGTAGGATTACAGGCGAGAGCCAACCAAACTCGGCTCATGAACTTTTTTTTTGTCGGTCGTGGGGCTTGAACTCTGGGCCTGAGCGGTGCCCCTAAGCTCTTCAGCTCAAGGCTAGCCGTCCACCACTTGAGCTACAGCGCCATTTCCGGTTTTCTGGTGATTTATTGGAGTTAAGAGTTTCAAGGACTTTCCTGTCCTGGTTGCCTTTTTTTTGGGGGGGGGGGGGTCCGGTCGTGGGGCCTGAACTCTGGGCGTGGGTGCTGTCCCTCAGCTCTTCAGCTCAAGGCTAGTGCTCTACCACTTGAGCCACAGCGCCACTTCTGGCTTTTTTCTTTTTTGCTTTTGTGGTGCTGAGGAATCGAACCCAGGGCCTCAGGCTCTACCACTGAGCCACCTTCCCAGCCTCCCTGGTTGGCTTTGAACTGTGATCCTCAGATCTCAGCCTCCTGAGTAGCTGGGATTATATAGGCGTGAGCCACCGGCGCCTGGCTTCATGAACATTTTTAAAGACCAGGGAGTAAGGCTTTGGAAGAGCAAGAAGAGTACACATACTCAAACTAAGTGGGTGAAATGAGATTAGTTAACAGAATGGAAATTTTAAGTGGAGATTTTTTTTTTTTTGGTTGGTTGTGGGGCCTGAACTCTGGGCCTGGGCACTTGTCCCAGCACTCTATCACTTGAGCCTCAGCCCCACTTCCGGCTTTTTCTGCTTATGTGGTGCTGAGAAATCAAACCCATGGCCTCATGCATGCAAGGCAAGCACTCTTCCTCTGACCCACCTTCCCAGCTCCCCTGCTTAAGTTTTTATAGTTAAATTTGTGATTCCTTTCAAATTTCTTTATGATTTTGTCATTGAATACTGGTGAGGGTTTATGAAGTTTCCCTCTAAAAGTAGGGACTCTTCACTTAGAGACCTTGACTTCAATTGCAGAATAAGAATTTTTGTACAAGTCACAATGGATAACTTGGCAGAGTTTCATTGAGTAGTCGAATGAACAAACAAAAAGGCAAATAGGCATGCAAACAAGCAGAAAGGCAGAGAGGCACTTTCTGGGTGTTCTAAAGGAGACAGACCTAGCTCTTGCCTCTTGTCCTCCAGGGTATTTATATGATAAAAGTTTGGGGTCTGACTTAAAGACTGGAAAAGAGAGGCCTTTATCTTTGCTCTCCCGGACTCTTGGTGGTGGTAGAATTTCTAAGTTCCTAGCTCTTGTTTACCATTCTGGTTGGGTCCTCTTTTGTTACTTTGGGAATTATTTCTTTCAGGAAGTGATAGATCCTGCCTAACAAATGTTAATTTTTGGGGTGAGAAATGTGTCTCTCAGGAAGGAATGCATCCTGTTATCTCTCTTTGAAGCAAAGATAGTGCTTCTGTGTTTCTAAATACCTTGTTTCTGAGTCGTCTTCACCTGGCTTCAATTCCCCTAATTTATCCTGCCTCAATGTGAAGTTGCTAATTTTTATTTATTTTAAAAAACTTATTTATTTATATTTTATTTGGTTTAAAGAGATTGAATTGTTACCTTTAATAAATATAAGCTTTTTTTTTTGCCAGTCCTGGGGATTGGATTCTGGGCCTGGGCACTGTCCCCCCCCCCCCCCCGCCCCCCCCCCCCCGCTTTTTTTTTTTTGCTCCAGGGAATGTTTTACCACTGTACTGCAGGCTTTTTTTTTCCCCTTTGTCAAAATGATGTACAGAGGGGTTACAGTTACATAAGTAAGGTAATAAGTACATTTCTTGTCAAACTTGTAACCCCTTCCCCCATTTTTCTCCTACTCCTTCGTTTTGTTTTGTTTTTGTTTTTTGTCCGTCATGGGGCCTGAACTGTGGGCCTGGGTACTGTCCCTTA